GACTGCGATCGGTGACGGGGAGAGGCTAGAGGCCGTCGGTGAGTGGTGCCCCGGAGTTTGCTAGGTTCCAGGGGTTTGGCAATTGGAGCCTCTATTGCCTTCTTAAGAAAGACGTGCTGGGTTCGAAAGGACCCACAGCGCTTAGAGATCCGTCTCTCCGTGTCTCTCTCCAACTTGGGCGGAAACCACCCAAGCCTTTTGTACGGCTAGCAAGCCAATAGCTAGCTGCCACGTGTGCCTAAATTAAGACCGGCCAATAATGTGCCTCAAATCTTAATACAAATGGCGGGAACTCCTTTGCAGCGTGCATCACTATAATGCAAGAGAAATGCACAATGCAAAGAAGGCTACAAAATGGCGGGAAACACTTTTCTGCACGCGGGTTCTCTATAACAACAGAACACTCCGTTGTGCAAAAGAGCTGCAATTCGGCGGGGACATAATTTAGCGGTGCCGAAGCGCGCACATTAAAAATCCACAACTTTGGGTTGTGACAATCTTAAAATCAAGTAAAAACAGTCCGTGTTTGCTAAAGGTGAGGAAACAATTTGTGAAACAAGTAAGCTTGCAAGAGTACTGGACCTATCCACACACAGGTAGGGGACAGGCACGTGGTAGGTGGGTGGTTAAAGGGAGTCATGAGCTTTTCCTCTTTCTCCCACTGTTGTCTGAGAGAGAGAGAGATCTGAATAGTTAATACAAAATACATTTGCATTCCCTTTGAGTAGGGACCAGGACTCCAGGCTACAGTCAGACTCCCCCTTGCTTGTTCTCCTCTTGCCACATGAATCTTGCATTCCTTTCTTCACAGTGACACAAGTTTAAGCAAAAGCAAGACCTGACCTTGCTTCTAGCCTGGTGTTCAAGGCACTTTAAAAGAGCTTTTGGTTTGATTTCCCCTTAGGCTGAGGAGGCTGTTGAATTTGCATCTCCTAGGTTATATTAATTGGAGGTCCTAACCCTAATTGAGACCAGAGATAAGATGGGACCTAGGGAAATTGGACATATAGAATAGCAGACAACAAACCAGCTAGGCATAAGACATTCAGCTGGGTCAGACTGATCAGAGCTGATAGACATACCATTCAATGAACAGTTCTGTGTGCCTCAAATCAGGAAGCTGATAGCAGTTTAGAGTTCAGGGGGGGAAAAAAACACTGGGGGGGTGGTATTGGTAGTACTACAGGAGGAAAAGCATTAAAGGGATTGTTTGGCTAAATAGGAGGTGGTTTCTATTCTACAAACACTTTAGATCAGTAATTTTCAACCTTGTTATACTGAAGGCACCCTGGGAAGATGCCAGCCCCTACTTTTCACCTGTTCCTTGACTACAGAAAAATAGAGTACAGCAAAAGCTTTGTTATCTGGCACCCATGGGGAATGGGGGGTGCCGGATAACAAAAATGCTGCTTAATTGAGCAGCCCAAACCAGGCCTCTTTGCCTGTTCAGGCCACCGCATTGCCGCTCCTCCCACTGCATTACTGATCCTCCCATGGGCTCGGGAGACAGGCCCTGTGGAGCCTGCTATACCCCGGGCTGTGGGGGGCTCGGCAGCACAGGCTGCTTTGCCCCGGGCCGTGTGGGCTCGGAGAAACCAGAAGCGCCATGGTGGGCACTTCCAGTTTTACTTTTCTGGTTTTCGGTTAATAGAACATGCCAGCTAGTAAGGTACCAGTTAAGGAAGCTTTTACTGTAATTGGAACTCAAAGACCGCTGTAGATGGGAATGTTTTTTGACACTGGATTTGTTTTAAGTCTCTGTTTATCTTGTGAATTATTATAGGTGTCTGTGTACCCAACAGCGCTAATATTCCTTGGCATCCTTAAAAGATCTCATGGTGTTCCAGGGTGCCACAGCATCTGGCCGAGAATCAGCTTTGGATAAAAAAGGATTATTGTTTAGGGTGGGCCAAGGAAATATAGATGAGAACAATGAGATCTTGTGAATATCAGGAAACTCTTGGTAGAGAGAGATCTGTTACACCAGGGATGGCCAGCCTGTGGTATAGGTGCTGCAAGTGGCACTGACAGCCTCTGTTTGGCACTTGGCAGATTCAGGAGGGGACAGCACAGTGTCAGAAAGGCCATGGAGCAAACAACAGAGCATCAGGGGGCACAGGGCAGGAAGCAGAAAGCTGAGACGCTGATCATGGAAAACGGATCAGATTAGCACTCTGGGAGGGTGTAGAGCTGGTTTGTGGCACTTCCACTGTATTAAACTAAGAGGCTTTTAAGTAACTTCTAGAACTTCTAGCCCCTTTAAAACTGCATTGGAGACCACCTTTGCACTGGCATCAGGACACCTCCTGTCTGGTCAGTCTTTTGCTTGGTTAATAGATACTTAACTCCCAGATACCACCTGCCCGTGCTCCTGCTCTTTCTTGTTAGTATTAAATAGCCTTGCTATAATTTGGATCCTGGCTGCTCTGGTGATGCATAGGTGCTTCTCTTAGGTCCCTTTACTTTATATAGTGAATGCACCAGCTCTCTCTTCCTGATCATTCCAGATTTCATAATTTTTCAACCTTAAATACTGTTTGCGTGGGGAGCTTACTGTTCACTGTGAATTGCCTCCATGATACTTAACTCGAACTGAACAGTGGTCCTGTTAATACAGAAACACTTAATTGATTAGGTCTTGGTAGCTGTTTTGGCCTAGATGAAGTTGTTCATTTAGAAATGTAGGTCTTAGTTTTTTGAGTTGACATTCTAATAACAAACAGGTAGACAACTTTTTCCTGTAATCTGTTGGCAAGATCTGTCAGTGTTAAAATATTCATTTGAGATCTTGCATCCGTCTGCCCCAAGGAGTTGAGCAGATGACCAGAAGATGGTTCTTTCACTTCTGATAAAGTATAGTTTAGCTTTTGTCCTGGTTGATGTTGTGACATGCTAAAATAGCAGTCCATTTATTTGAAGTAATATTGCATATTTTTATTGCCGATTGTTTCTTTCGTATTACAAGAGGAGCTTTTAACAAGTAAACAATTTCCTGATGTAATGATTTATAGACTTTCCAGGCATGTGGCACAGCCATAATAGCAATGGATTTTAAAATTGGTCTTGGTGAGGAGGATTGTCCTTGGGACACAGTGCTGTGTATACTAAGATGCTTTTGTCATATTTTGTTGTTTCTGTCCCTTAATTTTGTACATGAAGATTTAGAATGGAAAAAGCAAGGATGTTTCAATATCTAGAAAAGGAACTAGAAATCTTGTCTTGCATTAAAGGTATATTAGTCCATCTAGTCTCTGCTTCACTGCAAATGTTCATAGAACTATTTTGTATTCATATGTTTGTATATTAAAATGCTTTTACTCTGCAGTGGAAACACTCCGGAGACTAGAGGAACAGCATATGTAGTCTATGAAGACATCTTTGATGCCAAGAATGCTTGTGATCACCTGTCAGGTTTCAATGTGTGCAACAGATACCTTGTTGTCCTGTACTACAATGCAAACAGGGTAAGTATATTGGTTATTTCTAAATGACCTAGAAATATAATTTAATGTCAGTAAATGTTCATTCTAGTATGTGAAGAAATCTTCTGGAGTATATGGATGCGAATACTTCAGGAAACAATCCCAAACTTCCAGGAAAATGGATTAGATCAATGGGAATTCATTAGCTTTTGATGTTTGTGTACAGAAGAGTAAAATTTTTGAACTGGGAGGGGTAATGTGGGTTGTAAAGAGAATTGCTGTATCATCATTCCCTGTTAACTTGTGTAATAGACTAAGAAAAATCATGTCCTAAGGGACCCATGGGACATAATGCACTCAGAAGTACAGTGCCCTCCATTTGTATGCATCTTCATACTTGCATAACTTTTGCCACTTTCATATATTGAAGATGGAGTTTGTTACCTGTGTGAATTGCTCCTTTGGCTCCACTCTTGATTGTTTGAAACGAGGTGTTCAACCTCTGTTTTCATTTCTCCCCCCAGCCCGATTTGGGCCACACCATGCTCTCCCTTCCCCATTCTGTGGGCCAGGCCGAGTCCCCCTCCGCCAATGTGGCCGGATGGGGCCCAGTAGCGCTTTGGGCACCAGATCCAGTCCACAGGTGGACCAGGCACTGCCCATCCAGCTCACAAGTCAAAGAGGTTGGGCACCACTGGTATAAGATATTTTTTAATTGCACCACTGATGAAACTGCAGGAACGATCAATTTCATGGTTTCTAAAGCAGTCTTGAAGAGTAAAGCTCTTTTTTGAGGCTGTAATAAACTTGGACAATGGGGGCTGTTTACACTACAATGACCTGCGCTAAGCTTTTCACACAAGGCTCCTTAACTTGTTTAAGTGGATTCTTCAGGAGTACACAGCCATTGTCAGTTCCAAGGTTGCATACTTCAGGATCTTTATAGTTTAAGTTTCTGACATCCTAGTGTTCTACTCAGTAACAAGTTTCATGCCTTGATAGGCTGCTTATTTTCTTGTAGGTTCTGTCCGGTATTAAGAAATTAAACCATATCGTGTACTTGTGTTTGGTGCAGTGACAGTTAATTGGCAGTTGGGAGTCATGGTAACTTACGTTGACCATAACAGTGTTTTCTCCTATATGTGTAACTGATTTGCCTTACTAGAAACCCATAGGATATAAGCTGTCAAAAGGATTCTTCTCTAATGGATTCTTGTTTGTTTTTGCTACAGGCCTTCCAGAAGATGGATACAAAGAAGAAAGAGGAACAGCTCAAACTGCTCAAGGAAAAATATGGAATCAACACAGATCCACCCAAATAACATGGGGCAGTTCTGGAAAGATGATTATTTCAAATCTGTCACCATCTTCGGACTGAACCTCATAAGGACCCTTAAGTGCATTTTGTATTGCTTTTTATGCTGGGTGCATAAACTATTGAATCTTAAGCTTTGTTAATTTACAACTGAAACATCCTAAATAAATGCCAACTATCCTATGATTTGTGGTAAACTTAAGCGTACAGGCTGGCTTCTTGCTAAAATGGACCACTGGCTGTTGCGACAGTAACCAGTGTTTGTCTCCAGCAGGCTCTCCCAAGACGTAACCAAATGTATTTAGTTTGGTTCTGGAGAAATTCTTCCCCCTCCTAGGGTTTGTGCTAGATTCTAACCACCACTTAAATCCTTTGCATTGGGTAAGTGGCTTCTTCAAGTGGGTGAACTTCACCCTATGGACAAACTGAAGTTGCATGCCACATGTACCACATGTCTTGTATGGAAGCTGATACTGTGTATTTTGATACTTATCAGACTTGTGCTATTGTATCTAAGCAACCATGGATTTCCTCCCAATGGGAATGTTTTGGAGGAGTCTAATTTTGTATTAGAGGGAGCTTATGTGTTTGTTTATAAGGCAATTCCATATTAAAAATCTACCCCCAGGCTGCTGCTTCTCATGTAGTTTTTCCCCAAGGTGATTGGCAGTGAAGAAGGTGAATTGTCCCTTGGTACTTGAAAGATTTGTTAAAGCAAAAAATCTTGTTGCTAGCAACTAGCTTTAAAAAAGTCATAATGAAATGGCAGGTTTTGTTGCAAGAGCAAATGACTTGTAAAGTCCCTCCAGGCAAAGTAAAGAACTGAGCAATATGTTCTGCCTCCGTTACACATTGAGTTCAGGGAGGAAAGCATCCATGAGCCTGGGGGCAAAACGTTCTTCACGTTCTTTAGTTAGTGCAGCGAACAGCTGAGACCGCAGTCTGGTCTGAGGAGGAAATACGTAACTTAAGACAACAACTTTCAAGCTTCTCTGTTTAAAAGTGTATCAATATACATCTGCCGAGCAAATGGTGGTAGCAGACCAAAGATCTGTGAGCACTGTAAATCACCAGAGTGGAATTTACTTACACTTAGGACTTTCCCCCCCATATGTTTTTCATGAAAAATTGCCAGGCCTGGCACAAGATTTGCCTCCTGCCTTTTGGCTTATGAAAAAAATATCACACTTGCCTGTCCCCAAATTTACCTGAGCATAGTTTTTGCAAGGTTGAAAACTTACTAATAAAGTCCCTTCCTTTTTTCAGAAAATTAGTATAAACCTGAGATCTGTGGATCTCAACTGGACTTCCTTTGTGGCACTGCCTGTAGTGGGAGCAGGGTAAAGGAGACCTTAAGTTGATGTGCTTACTCAAAAGTCTCGTTTCCATAGAGTGTGGAACCCCTCTATCCTGTTCTTCTGTCCCTTCCTCTGTTTAGGACCGTAGTATTTACAGATCTGTCCACAATCTCCAGGTGCAGTGCCAATGAACTAAGCTGCATTTTCTACCCCATAAAAGTCACTCTGGGATTGTGACAAGGTGTTATAAATAACAAAGGGGGTGGGGAACCAGCTGGTGGTTTGCATAAACCATAAATAATTTGGTTGACCTAGTTTCAAGGGCCACCTACCTAGTCATTTTAGAACTACAGGTTTGGAACGGACCTTGAGGATCACCTTGTCCATGTCCCTTGGAGCATATACTGGATGTGCTATTCTTAAACCATTCCAGTCAAGTGCCCCCCCAGCCTCTTGAAAACCTCCCGTGAATGAGATTCGACAACTTCCCTGGGCAGATTGTTCCTTTGTCCTAATGTTCTTACAGTTAGGAAGTTTTTCCTGAGATTTAATCTAAATCTGCTTTTCTGCGGTTGAAACCTATTGCCTCATACCCTGCCCTCTATGACAAGGGAGAAGCATATTTTTGGTTTATTTTTATGACAGTCTTTCAAGTATTTATAAGCTGCTCTTGCAGCCATGTTAAATCTTTTCTCCAAACTAAACGCACCTACTTCTCCAGTACAACTTGCAACTCCAGCCCTTTTATTACCACCTTTTGTTGCTTGTCTCTGGTCCCTCTCCAGTTTCTCTACATTCTTTTTAAATTGCAGTGCTCAAAACATCAGGTGGTGTTCCAGCTGGGGCTTTCTGCACTGGATAGAATGGGACTATTATCTCTTGTGTCCGGCATAGATGTATTCCATGACAAAGTAAATACTGCTTTGTTAGTGTTGCCTAGGCCAACTCTTTTGTCTTGCTTCTCCTTTGGCTTTCCTTGTTGCTTCCATATTGCAGCTATGTGCATTAAGGTTGAGTGTACTTCAGTATGTGCAGAGTTACCTAATTCTGCTGTAAATTCATTCAGAGGCCCCTGTTCTTCAATCCGCCTCGCTGCTTAATAGAAATCTTGGGGTTTCCAGGCTGACCCATTGTATGACTTGGGAAAGGTTTCAGGAGTGAAGTCCTTTTCTCCCCCACTTCAAACTCCTACCTGACCTGTCCACAAAAATGTCTTGTGGAAGTAATTGAGTTTATAGAAGATTTAGCTTCCACTTCAGCATTTCCAGCCTTTTTTTCCTAATCTTCAAGTCTGCCAATTCATACAAGGTGCTAAGCATCCTCAAAACCTTTGCCTACTATGAGTGTTTGGATTTATGTCTTTACAGTACTTTAATGAAATGTTGGCATTTGGAACTGGCTTTGAATTGAATTCGTTTATTTAAAACATTTTACATAGTATGTAAATATTGACTTTCCTCTGTCAATAAAAGGAAGTGCTTTGCTTCAGTAGCGGGGCCTGATTTTTGATGAGGGTTTGATACAGTTTAAAAAAAAAATCTAAAGAGCAATTCTTTAGAGTAATAAGATTAACAAAAATTCTTTCAACGAACCCTCAAGACCAGAGGTTTCGGCTTCCTCTGGAAGCTTAGCTGCTGCCTTTCATTAAATATTCCATTTCATACTTTTTCTTCTAGTGCCTGTTCAGAGCTTTCACTGTCCCTGCACATGTAAAATGAAATAGTAATTTGTACCTGCATGATAGAAGGGATGGAAATCGAATGCCTGGAGGATTATTTTGATGGGGTCTGCTCAAGATTTTGTTTGAAATGTAATATCAAAGAACAAAGAAATGAGTCCAGTTATGGGAAAGGCAGAAGGGGCAGCTCACTAGGCAGATGTTGCCAGCCTTCTACTCTGCGTCTGTGCCAGAGTTCTTGTGTGCATTTGCTTTCCATTCAATCCTTCAGGAAGTAGTGCATGAAATTATGCCTAGAAGTCATTTTTCCATCTACGGTGTTTGGGAAATTAGTAATGTAAGAGTATATTGGATTACACAGGAAATGCTAGTGTATTTTTCCTATCCGTCTGCAGTAATAATAATTATATACTGTGTTGATAAATGGCACAATTAAATAAATTAACATACTTACAGTTAGATAAAGAGCCACCAGACATATATTAAAATGTTGAAGATTACATTTCCTTAAAGACTTAATTTCCCTAAGTACCACAAAGTACAATTAGTTTTACTTTCCAATTTTTTAATCAAATTGGTATTTTTTTTTTAAATCTGCTTTTATATACAGATCTTTGGAGGAAAAAGCTGGTTCTTAAGGAAGCGTCATCAAATGGCTACAGCAAGAGATCTAAAGAAGCTCATTAAAGAGTAGAGGAAGGTGCCATATACCCACTGCTATCAATACCCACAAGAAGTGCAAGTGCTCAGCAGTCTGGAGTTCTGGCTAGTAAGGTCCCAAAGCCCAAGACAAAAGATGTTTCCACTAATGGGAATCCCAGCAGATGTGTAGAGGTAGTATGATGCCACAGTGACAGAAGCAGAGTACATGTTTAGATAGACGATGCTGGAGTAAAGAGATTTGTGTAAAGTGTTGAGATACTGCATATTGCAGTGCTTAGGGGATCAGATTGTCTCCAAACCCAATTGGAGCTGGCAAAGGGCCTGAATTCTGGATTGTTCTTTTTCTAGTAATACATGTTGGGATCTGTCAAAGGGCACTTCCTGGAAGAGACTGAAAACATATTTGTAAGTTATGTTGCAGGATGATAAAAATCATACTTCTAAAACCAAAATCACATGGGATACAAGCTGACTAAGATGGGTAGATGTGAATCCTACTATGCAGAGACAAGTGACTGAAACATTTCTGTTAGAGCTCCAAAACTGCAAATCCAATCTTAGACCTCGCACCATATAACTGCAATGAGTCTCGGGTGTGTGTGCACTCCTAGATGAGATAACCCAACTAAGTTTGTTGTTCATGGATAGCAGAGGAAGTATATACCATGTTTCATCAACTCTCCTAAGCAACAGTTTAGACGTCTCTCAAGTTGCAAGATCTTTGAGCACTTTCAGTGCAGCCACCAATGTCAAAAACACATAGGAAGCAATCTAACCTACAGGGATGAGTTGTCTCTTCCTTAGCTTTGGCTCTGATCTTGGCTGCTGAGTTCAGGTTCAATTGGTTTTACTTCTTTCCAGCCAGCTAGTTCTGTTCTGTCTAGGCTTTGCCACTGCAGCAATTACTGCTAAAGTGCTGTCTTAACTGCATGGTGTCCCTAGGACTGATAGAACTTATGCCCTAGCATTTTTTTTCAATTATCTGTGGGGCACAGCTGTATTGCTACCCAGCATGGCCACAGGAAGCAGATAGCAGAATGACCTTAGGGGAAGGTTAGCTGTGAAATAAGCAGGGATAACTCTGACAAATAAGCAGTCACAGACTAAGCGGCAGCAACACCACTAGGATGTGGTAAGGACAGCAGACAGCAATGCTTTCCCTCCTGAAAAGCCACATATATCCTTTGATGGTGCTGTGCCATGGCGAGTACAGCTCTCTGCCTACCCAGCCCCCAGCCATGGGTCTAAAGATCCACAACAGTGGAGCAGGCAGAAGATGTTAGAATCTCAATGACTGCGAAGGCGGATGAAGGCTACAGGGGAATGAGATCCCCAGTTGTCTTGGTCTCCTTGCCATTGGCTCAAGGGCCTGTTTTGTCAAGAGCTTTGTGGGAGCTGATGTGCAGCAGCTTCTCCATGATAAAAGAAGTCATTGACAGGCGTGTTTTGTGAAAACAGCTTAAAAATCCAAGCTGTCTGTTGATCCCAGATAGGCCTCAGCAGCCAAACAAATAAGACAATCACGGAAGGCAATCATCCTCGACTGC